ACAAGTGTATAAAATCTGGACTGCTGAGGTCTCTTAAGCGTATATAAATGCTACAGTCTGGAGAGAAGCTGTGGTGGCTGCTGCTCCTGCTGTTGCTGCTGGTTGCTGTTGGTTGTGGTTTGTTGTGGCTTTTCAAGTGGTTGTTCATTAGCAAAGAGATGGGAAGAAGAAATTAGATATCCTGTTGGCAAAGATCAACCCTGTTCCAAGGAACTCCAAAACACTAATGATAACACTAAAGTAGTCTAATGATAACGACACCCCCTTTTCCCTCTATCCTTCTTTATCTCCTACTTAGTGTTGGGGGTTGGAAGGGTGGATGACGGGTGGAGAAAAAAGAGCCCAATAAATAGCTAAAAAGTCTGTTTACCAGTGGTACCCAGTGTGGGGCTCAAAAGAATGGGAAATCTGGGTTCAAGTGCTGTAGAGGAAATGGCAGGGGAATAAGGAATGGATATTTTGTTTCAAGTTGTCAGCAAAAGGTTTACTGGGGTTTCTGCCTAGGCTATCCCCTGCTTTGTTCCCAGAGGTGATTGTCTGTTTTACTTCTTCCTATATTCTGTCTCAAAGAAGGCTGGGAGAATGGCTGGGCAGTTGGAAAAATTGTGAGTGGAAAGGGAGAAACCTGAGAAACAAAAAATGGCTGAAATGGGAACCCAAAAGGGTCACTCTATTCTCTCATTTCTGAAAGGCTTGCAGAGTTGGCTGTGCAACAGGAAAGATAACAGGTTGAGATGGAAGCGCTTGGAGAGCGAGTAGCACTGGAAAAGGGAGAAATAAAAGGCTCAGACCCAGTGACTGAGCAGGAGGAAAGAAGAAAACAAGCTGTGCTAGAAGGCAGCACCTGCCTGGTGCTGCACACTTTCAGTTTCCAGTCCCTGCAGCTCCGGGGTAGGTCAAGAAGCCAGGAACTAACAAACAGGCAGAAAAACCGCAATGAAGTATTGCCAGTCTCTTATCCTATCCCCAAAAATTCAATGTTACAAAACAACTACTTGAGTTTACTGCCTTTTGTCCCCAGGGACAGTAGGGATGATCTTGGGAAGGAGTGGATTGACGTCCCAAAAATTCATTGTGCATCCAGGAATTATAGATGAGGATTTCAAAGGAGAAATTAAAATTATGGCTTATGTAAGAAAAAAAAAAGAGAGATGCAAAATAACATAGGTGATAGGACTATTCAGCTGCTACTGTTTCCCTACATTAAAAGCAAAGCCATTCCAGTAGAGAAAAACAGGAGGGTTTAGAAATACTGGAAAACATGTGTTCTAGCAAACAGTGGTTAATAATAAGAGACAAAAATTAAAACTGCAAATGAATGGTACTGAAATAGAAGGTTTGGTGGATACAGGAGCTGATGTAAACTATCATTTCACAAAAATCTTGGAATACAGAATGGCACAGTTTCTAGGAACGAAAAAGTTATCTCAAATAAAACAAAGTGTGCAATGGGTTAAATGTGTGGAGCTGGAAGGTCAAAATCATAGTGCTTTTTACTAATGTTGAGATTATGTCATTATAGGTAATCAATGAAGATTGGCAAAGAACTTGTAACAACTATTTGGGAGAAATTAATAACAAATATTCTAAAAATAAGCATCTCCAGTTTATATATAGAACTAACTGGATTCCCCCACATACTGTAATGGGAACACCAATTCCTGAAGCACCTACATTCTGCACTGATCCAAATTAGTTGGCAATGGCAGGCCATAAATCAGACAAAATAAGCAAAGTAATTCAAAGTCCATATACTTCAGTTCAAAAATCAGAGTTGTATATACTTCTTATGGTATTATTAGATTTTCCTGAATCTCTTAATATAATTACTGACTCTCAATATCTAGACCTAGTTGTTTTGCATATAGAAACTGCTCAATTTATTCCTGACAATTCAGAATTAACCTTGCTGCTTATGCGACTGCAATGGCAAGCAGAAATAAAGACTATCCATTGTATATCACCCAATATTTGGTCTCATACAGGCTTGCCAGGTCTACTAGCACAAGGAAATAAAGAAACCGACCAATTATTAATAAGCCTCCAAATTTCACAAAATGCCATGGTAACAGGAAACTTTTTTTTTTAAGATTTGTTTTATGTATATGAGTGTTCTATCTGCATTTACACAGAAGAGGGAATCAGTTCACATTATAGATGGTTGTGAGCCACCATGTGGTTGCTGGGAATTGAACTCAGGACCTTTGGAAGAGCAGACAGTGCTCTTAACCACTGAGCCATCTCTCCAGCCCAACAGTAGTTTTAAAGAAAAAAAAAATTTTATCACTTGGCAACGAGCCAAGAAAAGTATTAAGCAAATGTTCTACTTGTTCGTTGAACAACCAAACTCACTGGAAGTAACCCTAGGGATACCAAAAGAAGTGAAACCTGGGAGATGGGCATGTTTCACTTTGCAGAATTTGGAAAACTAAAGTTTGTACACCATACCATTGATACACAGTCAGGGTTTCAATGGGCAACTGCTTTGAGTTCTGAAAAGGCTGATTCTGTAATTACATATTTACTGGATATAATAGCTGTTATGAGTATACTTGTACAAATTAAGAATAACAATACCCCGAATATGTTTTCAGTAAGATGAAGCAATTCTTTGCATACTATAATTTATATTAAAGGCACACCACACAATCCTACAGGACAAGCAGTTGTAGAAAGCACCTTTAAAAATGCTTATGAGGGCTGGAGAGATGGCTCAGAGGTTAAGAGCACTGGCTGATCTTCCAAAGGTTCTGAGTTCATATTCCTAGCAACCACATGGTGGCTCACAACCATCTAGAATGAGATCTGGTGCCCTCTTCTGGGGTGCAGGCATATATGCAGGCAAAACACCATATAAATAAATAGATAGATAGATAGATAGATAGATAGATAGATAGATAGATAGATATTTTTTTAAAAAGCTTGTGAAACAATAAGTCAGAATATAAACTCCCAGGGATGGACAAAACAGTGCTTTGTTAACTTTAAACTTTCTGAATGTTAATGAAAAAGGAACAACAGCAGCAGAGAGAGAGAGACACTAGGTTATAGGAAATAAAAAAAAAAAAAAAAACAAAACAAAACCCCCCAAAACAAAAAACCACTATGGAATTAAATCAACCTATACACTATAAAGACATGTTAACATCATAATGGAAACCCGCAAAAGTTTTGCACTTGGGGATTTGGGTTTGCTTATGAAATGAAAATCTGTGGATTCCATCAAAACTTATAAAGATTAGAATTGAGCAGGCGAGGTCTCCTGAAACCTGACCCAAAAAAATCATACAATTCATCGAAAATGTCTCTGTATAATTTCTCACCAAACACATCACAATTAATGGCTTAAAACAGAAATGGGGACCAAAGAACAAATGGGAACTATTTCTTTGACCACCTCACTCTCATGCACAGGAAAAACAGGTGCTTCTCAAGATTGGCTATGTGGCTGTGTCGGATACTTTCTCAGCTTCCAGTTAGTAATAAGCAGAAATGAAGTGATTTTCCCCCAGTAGGGTCTTGCTAAATTAAACTGTTCAGGCAAGTTGGCTTTGAACTTCCCTCGTCCTGACTTAAATCTCCCAAATGCTGGAATTACAGCTACCATACCCAGTAATGGAATGCTTCTTAACTTAAGCACAAATAGGGATTTCACAGCCTTTTTCTGAAAAATACTTTATTATTATTTATTTACATGTACATGTATGTAACATCTGTATATGTGGTTGAGCCTGAGATAGGAGGAATCACCTGGATATGGAGTTACAAGTAGTTGTGAGCTGCCTGACATGGGAACCGAACTCGGGTCCTCTGCAAGAACAATGCGTGTTCTTAATGACTGAGCCCAGATTTCACAACCTCTTAAAGTACAATGGAATTTTTTTCCCAAACAGAAATGTTTTAAAAGCCACCTAGCCTCAATTTCAGATACTAACTGAAGAAAGTTTGTTTATACTGGTTCAACTCTTATTTTTTTAATTTAAAATTCTATTTGTTTATATTTATTTGCTTTTTACTTTTTGAGACAAGATCTCAGCATACAGTCCTGGCTGGCCTTGAACTTTCTATGCAGACCAGGATGTCTTTAAAGTACAGACACCAGCTTTCTCCTGCTTCTTGAATGCTGGGATTTGCACCATGCCTGGCTTGCCATTAAGTACAGAAAAAGAGAAAAAATAGTAGAGTAGAAGGTCAAAGTTTAAATACTAGAGACCTCCTCACACCTGGGTGGTCTGGCTAGAAAGGAGACTCAAGGAAAGCAACAAAAGTAAGGCTAAGGTAGGTGTTTTTGGGTTTTGTTTTGTAAAGAAAGGGTTTATGTAGCCCCAGTGGCCTAGAACTTACTCAGTAACTGAAGATGATCTTAAATTCCTATTTCTCCTTCCTCTGCCTTGTAAGTGCTGAGATTATGGGTATGTCCCAGTATACTTGGTTTTATACAGTGCTGAGGATTGAACCTTGGGCCTCGTACATGTTAGGGAAGCATTCTATCAGCTGAGCCCCAGATCCTGAGACTAAAGACTAGGTTAGGACATGTGTCATTATACAACCTCATGAGAAAAAAGAAAAAGCCGGTTCCTGAAATGCTTTCCAGAGTAGACTTATGCTAGTAGTAATAGGGCACAGAGGATTTTAAATCAGAGATGGTTTGATATTTCTTATTTAACTAATGTAAATGCACTTCATATTTATTAATGATTAATAATTATTTTTTTAATTTGGTAAAAATAAAACCTTTACTAAAAATAATACATATTGATGTAAGTATTTGCTGTAAAAATGTACATTTATACATCGGTATTATTTAAAACATTTATCCAACACGGTCTCTGTTGAAATTAATAAGCACAGTATTTTACACTCACTTCTAATATGTACTCTCTCACATATAATCAGAATACTTCCAGGCCTATCTTAGAGCCAGACATATGCAGATTTAAGGATCATGAGTTAAAATCTCAATAAGCTAAAAGTTTCAGTAACTTTTTTTCAGCATTTCTTCATTGCTTTTCTTCTTTGTTTAAAAGAGTCTGTTTTAAGCTCAAAACAGCATCTTGAAATCCATGATTTAGGTCTAATGCCCTCTTGAAATCTTCCAAAGCTTCATCAAAATACCCCAGCCTATAGCATATCAAGCCTCTGTTGTAATACAGAACTTCAAAGTTGGGCAGGATTTCTACGGCAGATGTGGAGTCGTCCATGGCTTGATAAAAATCAACACTGAAGTACTTGCTTTGCCCCCTGTTGTTATATGTGGTGGCCAAATCCTCAGGGCTACATCTGCTCCTGTGACTTGCGAACTGGCCAATGAAAGCCGAGTACAGCTCCTGGGCTTCGGTAAACTTGCCCATGTTGAAGCGAACCTGGACCTGGCTCTCTCCACTCCCTCCGCCCAGCGGCCGGTTGATTGATAATTATTTATGAAAGAGAGAAAGAGAAGAGAGGAAAACAAAGAGAGGAGAGAGAGAGAGAGAGAGAGCCATGCAACTGAAGCCAAGTGAGGAGGTTTTCTTTCAGCAATGGCTTCTATGTAGGTAACATGACATAGAATCCTTAACAGGAAAGCACACTGCTGTACAAGCAACAAAGTGAGATTAGGAAGCTTCTGTAGAACCTAAAATGCTTCACCAGCTAGAATTAGGAGGACACACACAAACACTGACAGCAAATGTTCACTAATGTAGAGAGCAAGCTGATAGGATACAGGACTTGTGAGGGATAGGGACTTACCTAGCTCATCCCAGAGCTGCCTGCACTTGTCTGTCATGCTTGTTCCTTGCTGCCTCCAGAGTGTGAGGCGTGGATCAGCCATAAATTGCTCAGTTATAAGTGTCAGCATCCTGGCTCCATTAGAATCTCTCATCCGGAGCATCTCTCGAACCTAAAATATAAGGAGGGACAAGTGATTAGTAATTGCATAGCATAGAAAATGACAAAGTGAAGGATGGAGAACAGGTGAAAAAGATGGTGTACTTCTGTAGCATATTTGAGAGACAGAAAGTCTCTCAACTCTGTAAGTGAAATTCCTACACATATCAAAAAAGCCTGTTATATACAATCTGATACCTCTTCAAACACACTAGGATGGCTGGAATAAAAGAATAACAACAGTACTGGCCTAGATGTCAAGAAATCTCGGAAAATTGTCTACATAGAACTTGTATAAGAATGTTAATAGCAGGCTGGAGAGATGGCTCAGAGCTTAAGAGCACTGGCTGCTCTTCCAGAGGTCCTGAGTTCAATTCCCAGCAACTACATGGTGGCTCACAACCATCATATCTGGTGCCCTCTTCTGGAGTGCACGTGCACATGCAGACAGAGCATTGTATACATAATAAATAAATCTTAAAAAAAAAAAAAAGAATGTTCATCTTGTCGGGCAATGGTGGTACACACCTTTAATTCCAGCGCTCAAGAGGCAGAGGCGGTGGATCTCTGTGTGTTCAAGGTCTACAAAGTGAGTCCAAGCCAGCCAAGGTTACACAGGAGAACCCTGCCTTGAAAAAAAAAAAAAAAGAACGCTAATAGCAACATTCTTCTTTTTTAGAGTAGCCAATGTAATACAAGTGTCTACCAACAGACAAAGGATAAATATAATGGATAAACATAAAGATCAACCTTTAAAGTATCAGGCCAAGAAGTAAAAGAAGTCAGTCACAAACTGGGCCCACACTTTCACACATGTATATTTTTCTGCAAGTGGGGTTTACCAACTGAATCATCTTCCCAGTCCCTTATGTTAATATTTTATCTAACCCCCTTGAGTGACTCTCTTTGCATGTGTCTGTTCTCTATGTTTGACTTCAGTGAGGCCTCACTGACCACTGTAGCTCAGTCTTTTTGTAACAACAACAAAAAGAGTTAAAGCATCTGTTTCTCCCAGCTCAAGCATTTATACTTATATACATACATACACATACACACATACATACAATATAGGTACATAAACACACATACATATGTAAATAGATAAATGATAGATAAGAGATGATATGTCTATAAAACGGGGATGATATATAATGTGTGATCTTAGAATTAATATTAGTAATTAAGGTTGAAGTGAAAGAAACTGTGGGGCCAGTCAGATAAAGATACTCTGCTCAAGCTTGGTGACTGAGTTCAATCCCTGGAACTCAGGAAAAGGAGGAAACAGAGAACTGATTCCATATAGTTATGCTCTGGGTGCTACACTCATGTCATAAAAATCCTCCCTGTAAAATATGTTTTAAAGAAACCCTGCGACTATAATGTGAAATCAGTACTAGCTGTTAAATCAAGACCAACAAAATTGACATCACCTCTGAATTTATTGTTGTTGTTTTTTTAAATAAAATTGATGCTGTGTTTCTTTAAAAAACACAGACATATTATAAGAATATGTTTTTGTTTTAATCCCAGTCGTGGAGATATGGGGCTGCTTCACAGCAGCTGACTATAATTTGCCTCGTGTTCTAGCAGAGGCGTGATTTTGCCAGTTGCAGATAGTTTCTGCAATTGTATGATGATTGGTATTCGGGGGACTTTTCAGAGGGTATATAAATGCTAGGGCCCTGAGAGGCATGGTGGGTTGTTGTTGTTCAGTCATTGTTGGGTTGTTGTTGGTTGCTGTTGTTAGTTGTGCACAAAAACAAGAAAAATAAATTAGATATCCTGATCACGAACATCAAACTTGCCCCAAGGAATTTAAAGGCCCTAATCAGCAGGGAATAGTCTAATAAAAACATCACCCCCTTTCTGACTTTATTCATGGATCTCTTTCCTTTCCTCTCTACTCTTTTTTTTCTCCCTTATCTAGGGTTTTGGGGGTTGAAAGGGTGGAAGAAAATGGGTAGAAAGGGAGAAAGAAAGAAGAACCCACAAAGTAGCAAATACAGGCTACAGTTTGTTTCTGAAGCAGCTCACTTATGACCGACAGGTGATAACATAAAGTTCTTTTCCAAGGTGATGAGAATGTTGACTGTGGTGATGACTCTATACTACTGTGGATAAACCAGCCCTAAAACACTAAACCCCACACACCCACTGAACTGCACACTTGGGTCTTGCACATGCTAGGCAAGTATTCTACCTCTGACCTGTATCTCCAGCCAAAACCGTACTGGTTATATGGGTAAACCAAATGGTACATATGGTATATCCCAGTAAAGTGTAAACAGAAAGAGAGAGAAAACAAACAAACAAACAAACAACAAAAAACCAATCCAGCCTGCCTGGCACAGGTGCCTCCAGTTTCAAAATAGTCTCTTGTGGAACACTGTTGAAACTCTAGTCTCTGAAGATTCACCAGACAGCTTTTGATTCATAGCAAAGAGAAGACAGTTCCTTGCTAAAGTTCTCCAGCACTACTGGCTCATTTAGAGAGTAAAGCAGAAAGAATAGACTACCAGAGGAGAGGTAGTTGGACTCCATGGAATAACCTGCTCATGAGGCTCTGTTTACTTTGTCTCCTGCTAGGTTTTAAGCACTCAGTACAGCTAGATATACAGGAAAGCAGAAGTGTAATGAGCCCAGTTTATTTAACATTTGAAAGAAAGAAAGACAGGGTGTGGGGGCGGAAGGAAGGGAGAAAGGAAGGAGGGAAGGAGGGAGGGAGGGAGTGAGGGAAGGAAGGAAGGAAGAAAGGAGGGAGGGAGGGAGGGAGGGAAGGAGGGAGGGAGGGAAGGAAGGAAGGAAGGAAGGAAGGAAGGAAGGAAGGAAGGAAGGAAGGAAGGAAGGAAGGGGAAAAAAGAAAGCCAGCCTTTTTATTTCTTACCTTGGCAAACATTGAATTGAGCTGCTTTCCAGAGCCATAGTAACCTCCCTGGGAGAGAAAAAGCTTCACTTGTTCTTTGACCTGTTCTTCATCCAAGTGCCAACAGTTCTCATCATCAATGCTGGCCCCGGCTGTGGGGTCAGGGGCACCTGTGAAGAATGGGAATGATGGCACACTGTGAGCATATAGATGCAGATAGTCAGTGCTTTGCAACTGTGCGAGACTTCAGAAATGTAAGATGCATGCTAGTTTTACGTTAACAGAAGTCATAGTTGTAGCCTTTTAAGGTCTATTACTACTCAAAAGCCTAGAATGAAGTACAAATATTCTGCTGGATGCTGGTGCATGCCTTTAGTGTCAGCACTTGGGAGGCAGAGGCAAGTGGATCTTTATGAGTTCGAGGCCAGCCTGTTCTACAGACCAAGTACAGGACAGCCAGGGCTATACAGAAAAATCCTGACTGATAACAACAACAATAACAACAAAAAGAAATACACACGTGCTGTTGTTAAATATACATTTGGACTCTATTTCATGGCATACAACTAATTTTTAAAAGATTTTCTATTTATGTGTATGGTGTTCTGACTACATGTACGTCTGTGTATCACATGTGTATGCAGTGCCTGCAGAAGCCGGAAGAGGACATCAAATCCTGTGGAACTAGAGTTACAATTATTAGCTGCCATGGGAGTGCTGGGAATCAAACCCAGGTCTTCTGTTGATCATGTCATGCAACTTTAAAGCCCTTGGAATTTTCAAAGTGGTGTTTTTCTGTGTGCTAATGAGTTGCTGATGGCAGCTGAGACAAGCTAGAGCTTCAGGATTGGTTCTGCTTACCCAGGTAGAGAGCTGCCTATGTGTCAGCCTCTAAGGAGGAGGACTACGAGGACATAGAATTTGCAGAGTAGACCATGGGGGAGCAGTCTCAGGAGCAGCGTGCCTGGAGAAAGTATAGAAGCACAGCCTCTCATGGCAAATGCTTTGTCCTGTGTATTTTTCAGTTGTGCCTTCGATAATATAAAGAACCAGCAAATATAAGTAAAATGTTTCCCTGATTCTGTGGCCTACCTCAGCAAATTAATTGAGTGTGGGAACCTTGATTTATGGTGATTCATTCTGCCAGCTAGTTAAAAGCTAAAACAGCGCAGGGCATGAGACTGGGAGAAGTGGGGAACAGTTCCGCCACCATGCAGTCTTACACCATCTTCAGGTAGTTAGTATCAAAAATGAATTATATTAGAGGATGTGTTGGTGTCTACTGTAAAACTGGTAACTGTAAAGTTGGTGTGCAGAGAAAAAAGTTCCCAAGTAGTTGACCATAGCTGTATTCTGAGGGTATGAGAGGGGAAACTGAGTTTGTTTCTCCTCTGTATCTTCAACACAGAAGGAAAAAATCGTAACATTTTCCCCCCCTAGGAAAGCAGTATTTATTACTTTGCTTTCTCCTCTGTCAAGTTCAAATCTGTATTAACATACATATATTATTTTAAAAGCTAAAAATATTTTTTGGAACATAAAACTGTATTTTTTTTTTTAGCTAGGTATGGTAACATAAGCCCTTGGAGGTGGCAGAGTGGCCAGGCCCTGCCCTACAGG